TTGCAAGAATTAATCCAAAAGGAAACATAATGATTCAAAAATCATTTAAAAAGATAAGAATTAACACTATGAAAATTTTAAATTATGTTTGATTTATAATAGAACATTAATGTTATCCAATGAAGGAATTCCCGGCTTATCATAAATCTTAGGCAAAGTAATCCTATAGTTGCCCTCGAATCTTCAGATTCCTTGAATTGGCAACCCCAAATTTTCTATTTGAGAAGCCCGATTCATATCCTTAAAAAGCTTAAAAATCTCTATTTGACCATTCATGTATGAATACCATTGGATTGTCAACTGAGTATGGTCAACATATTTTCAATCATGATGAATAATTTTACCTTGATTTTTATTTACCATAGCAGCTTATTTAAATCATTGCAAAAACCTTATTTGTTGGTAACATATTTTTATGATATTTAGATGTCAGGCGTTCCCATCATCTCACTACTGAAGTTACTCGAGCCAAATTTTAATAGTATTATTCACACACAACTCATAACTAAAAATCATCAACTTGGAAATCAAAGATCCTCATTTTTTTTTTTGGGCTAATGAATTTGAAGGATACTGATCAGGATTATTCCTTGTCTCTCCAAAAAAGGGGTTAAGGATGATGATGGTCTTTTCATCAACCCCAACTTCCACTACTATTTTCTTATTGACCATACCTTAGCCTCCGTAATTTTCTCTACTAACACGCATACTAAACCTTGATTCTTTTCATGTAATATGAAACACTGGAGAATGTCGACTACACTCAACTAGTAGATCATGAATTACACTATTAATATATGGCTCTATAACAACATTAGTAAGACCAGATCATGCATCATGCTTATCCATCATTAAAGCCAAAATCGATGTCACTATCACAGATGAAGCAACCCTCATTTAGAAAGACATTATTCTCTATACGCTAAACGGTCTACCTTCCACTTATCAAGCATTCAAGATTAATTGCATTCCACACCCAATTACAACATATAGTCTTGATGTATTATGTTCACTATACTATAAAGAATAACCCAACTCAGCCATGGAAGCTATTAGAGCTTTTCAACTTATCATGTCAATAGATGTAACATCACACTTACTACTTGTGTTTGCAGACAAAATTCCCCTTATAATATTCAAGTTTGTTCATCATCTCAAAAGGGTTGCACCACCATCATAGCTAGGGAAAAACCAAGAATTTTTTCCATCATTGAATGTCAAATTATTGGCAATATTGGTTTATCTGCACTCAAATGTTTGCATTGGACCAATCTGAATTACAACCGTCCCCCTCAACCAAAACACAAAGTCTCTCTTCATCAGTTACCTTGCCAACAAAGATGATTGGCTTTTTAGACATCAGTGTAATGTCACACTTGACATTTGATCACAACTTACTTCACAACTCAAAATCATGCAATGGAAACCCACAAGTGACTCTTACAATAGACAAACAACACTTATCACTTCTTGGCCTAGGCATACATGTGAGTTTTACTTATCACCCCTTTACTTATTCCATTAAAAAAATATTAAAGTTTAAGTAATGGATATGTAAATACATAGGAATTGAGTGGTAAATATGTTAATCTTAATTAAAAATAAACATTATCAAAATTTTGTGAGAAGTTAATTGCAAAATATATCTCTCATATTATTTTTAAAATTTCTAAAAATTCTATTTTATCATCGCTTAATAACAATATGCACATAAACCATAATATTCGTTCAGAGAAAAATACTTTTTTGTCATCTCTCCATGTTGCCTTGACCTTATGCGCCGCAAATTTTGTCCTTAAAAGCTATGATAAATAATATTTGCATTATAAAAACAACAATAATAACAACAACAAACCCTTATCCCACTAAGTAGGGTCGGCTACATGAATACTTTTGTCCATTGCATCCTATTGAGTATCATATTTACATTTAATTCTAATAAATTAATATCATTTTTTATATAATATGCCCAAGTATTTGTAGTTTTACCTCTGCTTTTTTTTAACATAAGTCAACTCTAAAACATCTACTCTCCTAATCGAATCATTAGATGGTAGACGTTTAATGTGACCAAACCATCTAAGGCGACTCTCTTTAATTTTGTCCGCCATTGGAGCCACACGAACCCAATCACAGATATATTTATTTCACATTTTATCTCTAAGTGTAAAACTACTCATCCACTTAAGCATTATCATCTCGACAACACTTAACTATGTATTATGTTTTTCTCTTAAAGGCCAACGTTCAGTGCCATAGAGCCTTGTAAGTATCACCACTATCTTATAAAAAATTTCTTTCAGTCTAACCAGTACTTTTCTATCACACAATAAACCCAAAGCATTCCTCCATTTCAACCAACCAACTTGAATTCTATTAATAACATCCTCATCTATATCACCATCGCTTTGAACAATAGACTCGAGATATCTAAAACGTTCACACCTTCTAAAAAATTGATCACCCATAGTTACAACTCTATCACTAGAGCTACTACTACTAAAATTACATTCCATGTATTCCATGTATTCAATTACATTCCATGTATTCAGTTTTAGTTCTACTTAAACGATGGCCTTTAGACTCCAATGTAAACATCCATAATTCAAGTTTTTTTCTGGGTTTTTTCTCTAGACTTATCCACGAGAAGGATATCATCAGCGAAAAACGTACATCAAGGTTCATCCTCCTGTAAGCATCCAAAAGATCATCCATAACTAAAGTGAAAAGATACGGGCTTAAAGGAATCCCTGATGTAATCCAACTAAAATAGGAAAATATTTAGTTAATCCCCCTTCTATTCACTATTCAAACACAAGTAATACACAAGTAATAGCTCTAGTATACATAACCTTAATGACTTGAATATAAGTCATATCATCACCTTTTTTCTCTAGAACTCTCCAAAAGATATCTCTTAGAAGCTTATCGTTAGCTTTTTCTAAATCAATAAAGAACATATGTAGATCCTCATTCTCAATGCACTTCTTCATCAAAGCTCTCAATAAATGTATAACTTCCATAGTAGACCTGCTCCACACAAATCCAAATTGATTATGAGAAACCTTTGTAATACGTCTAACCTATGTTCAATTACCCTCTCCCATAACTTTAAAGTATGACACATCAACTTAATTCCTCTATAATTTGCACACTTTTGTATTGGGGACCAAGGGACCAAAATAATCTTCCTTACTCTTCTTCCACTCCTCCGACATCTTTATAGTTTTTAAAATAATATTAAAGAGTTTAGTAAGCTAAGAAACTCCTAAATCTCCTATATATTTCCACACTTCACTTGGGATACCATCAAGTCCTGTAGACTTTCCACCCTTGGTTTTCTTCATAGCCTCTTCAACTTCTTTTTTACTAATATGACGATAAAAATGAAACATTTTTTTTTATTTTTAACAATATTAAGATCATTAAGATCAATCGTATTTTCAGAAACTTCATTAAATAGTTTATCAAAAAAACTTATGCACCTATGCTAAATATATTCTTCTAAGAAAAATACTTTTTTGATTTTCATCTTTAATACACTTTACTTGAGTTAAATCTTTAATTTTCTTTTCTCTTTATTTGACTAGTTTCTACATATATTTTTCACCATCTTTAGTATCTAATCTATGATAAAGATCACAAAATAGAATTTTTAGCATCACAGATTGTTCTTTTAGACACACTACAGACCATTTTATATTTTTTCTAGTTTTCTAGGCTTTTACGTATACAATTTTTATAACATAGCTTCTTATATTTTATCTTTTCTTGCACATTATTATTCCATCACTAACTATTTTTATTTATAAAAAACTTTTTAATTTGATTATCCAAGTACATCTTTTGCCACTTGTTTAATAGTATTTGTTATTTTATCTCACATAAAATTTGCTTCTTCATGAACATCCCAAATCTTGAATATTGAAGTTTACTCATAAAATAATTTTATTTATCTTTTAGGAGCATCCATCTAATTCAACGATAATGATTCCTAGTATTCTTTATTTTACAACTCTTCATCTTAAGATCTATAACTAATAATCGATGTTGAGTGTTTAAATACTCACTTGAAATTACTTTACAATCTTTACATTCTCCACAATCCGTTCTTCTCATAAGAAAATAATCAATTTGTGTTTTATTAGATATATTCTTATAAGTAATAATATGCTCATCTCTGTTCTTGAATAAAATATTAGTAATAACAAAATCATACACTAGAATAAAATCTAATATGACTCTGCCTTCTTCATTAATCACTTCAAAACTCTAGTCACCATGAATATTTCTAAAATCTTCTACCACTCTACCAACGTATTCATTTAAATCTCTTCCAATAAAAAATCTTTCTCGAAGATGTAACAATTGTATTAAATCCTCTCGGTCATTCCATAATTTTTCTTTAAAACATATATCTAAACTTACTTGAGGAACATAAACACTTATAATATGAAAAATTTAAGTATCAACAATAATCTTATGAGCTATAAATCTGTCTCCAATTCTATTAATTTTTACAACATTATCTTTCAAACTCTTATCTATAATTACAACTGCACTATTTATAGTGCGACTCTTACCTGAATACCAAAGTTTAAAACCTAAGCTATCAATCTCCTTAGCGTTTTCTCTAACCCATTTAATTTCTTGAATACATAAAATATTTAGCATCTACTAATATTTATCTGTGAGATTTCTCTTCCCTAATCTTTTCATTAAAATGACATATGAAATTAAATAAGATGAGTCACTAATGTTCAATAAAAATCATTAAACTATAACTATTAAAAAATGAATTATTCTGCCATTGTACACCGTTCCCATTATGCGCCATCAACCTATACTGCCTTGAGTTGACCGCATTTACCCGCATAAATGTCGTACGAATCGCCCGTCCATTGCACCACGTGCAAGATTGCATAAGTGTCGAACGGCCGATTATAAAAAACTTTATGCGGAGAGCGTACATAGTACTTAAGAAATTGTCCCTTTAAAAAACAATAGTTTGGAAAAGAAGGGTTTTTATCCCTTCTGAAGAAAAAAGAAGCCCTCGATCTCCTTTCTCCGGCGAAGAAGAGCGGCTCCTGCGTGCGCTCACCTCCTTTCGATTAACTCTCTCTCTAGCCTCACCGGCGATCATCAGGTCCTCTCTCTCTCTCTCTCTGTCTCTCTCACCATAGCTTATCCTCCGCTGCTTGTTGTTCGATGCCGGAGGATTTAATTTGGATATGAGATATGGAATTGCCGGATCTTCATTGTCTCGTTGTTTTTTGTATCGATCTGTTATAGGTTTAATTTTGATTTTTTTTTCTGGATTCTGGCGAATCATGGTCGGTGTTTATCTGGATTATGATGCTGATTGGCGCTTCGTTTTTAGGTTTCGAATTGGGTCTCTGTATTATTTATCTTATTGGTTGAAAATGGTTTGTTAAGTTATGGATTTGTAGGGCGTTTAATTTTGATTTTGTTTTAGATAGTAAATTTGTACAGTTCAGTTGTTGAGTTGAAAGTTTATGGTTTTATATCGGATCGCTATGGATGTATTGGATTCCTTAGGATATGTGAAGGTGTTTTTCTCATTGATAAGGTGGTGATAAATAAGGATGAAATTTTGGGGAGGAGATATGTCTACAGAGAGAAAGGGGGAGGAGGGGTGTTTTTCTTACGTTGTAGATCACTGGCTCTCTGTTGGCTGTTAAAATCAGGGGTCTGAAGAGAAAAAAAACAGTTATTTATTATGGACATGACTGGAGTGATGTTGCAGTTAGTAGGTACTGAGCAGGAGTGGAGCAATAATAGAATGTTTTTTAGAAATTAAGAAAAGAACAAGGTAGTGTTTCAGCTTTATTTCAATACCAACGATCCACCATAAAACACTTAGATGCTGGACATTCCCATCCTCTGACTGCTGATGTTCCTCGTGCCAAATTTTAATATTATTTACACACAACTCATAGCTAAAAATCTTCCAACTTGGAAATCAGATATCCTCAAATTATTTTTTGCCAGTGAATTTGAAGGATAACTGATCTGGATTATTCCTTTTCTCTCCAAAAAGATGGCTAGGGATGACCGCGGCCTCGTCATCAAACCCATATGGTTTCTCATTGACCACACCTTAGCCTCTGCAATTTGCTCTACTATATATCGCCCTACTAACACACACAATAAACCTTGATTCTTGTCATGAACTATGAAACACTAGAGAATGTTGGCCATAGTCAACTAGTAGATCCCGAATTGTACTACTAAATGATGGTTTCTCAACATAATTATACAAGACCAAATCACACGTCAATGCTCATCTATCATTAAACCAAAATCGATGTCATTGCCACAGTCGAAGCAACCCTCGCTTGGAAATACATTATTCTCCATACCTTAAACAGTCTACCTTCCACCTATCAAGCATTCAAGATTGCAATCCTCAACCGATTACAACTTATAAGTTTTGATGTCTTTATTCACTATATTGTAATGAAGAAACCAAGTTAGCCATGGAAGTTATCAGAGTTTTTCAACTCAGCATGTCAGTCGACACAACATCACACTTGTAGCTACTAGTGTTTGTAGGCAAAGTTGCCCTTATAATATTTGAGAACATTCATCATCTCAAAATGGTTGCACCACCATCACAACTAAGAAAAACAAACAATTTTTTCCATCATAGAATGCCAATTTTGTGGCATGATTGGTCACTCTGCGCTCAAATGTATGCATTGGACCAACTTGAATTACGACTGCCACTTCCCAACCAAAACAACCAGACTCTCTTCCTTAGTTACCTTGCCAACAAAGATGATTGATTTTTAGACATTGGTGTAACATCACACTTGACCTTTGATCACAATCAACTTCACAAATCAAAACCATACAATGGAAACGAGCAAATGACCTTTACAATGGACAAACGACACCCGTAGCGCTTATTGGCTTAGGCATACCCTTAAACCGACTTGTCATTTTCAGTTATAATCCCTTTTACTTATCCTCAACTCATGCATAATTTTCTTTTGATTCATAAACTAACCATTTATGACAATTTCTGAATATCATTTTGCCCCTCCAGTGATATTGTCAAAGAGGACTCCGATGACCAACCTTCCCCTTCTTAGAGGCCTATGGAATAATATCCTTTACAACCCTGACCATCGACCAAGCCAACTCCACATGCAATTGAACATGAGCTCCTCACTTCATTCTCTAATGTCACACACTTATATATTCACTTGGATCATTTGTCCAAAAACACTTTGGCCACCCAGCCAAATCAATGGCGGCTTCATGAGTTTGTCTGAAATAGCACTTTTATAACTCACGTCATATAGCAGAGACAAAACACCCTTTTTTAATCTTGATATAGCAGTTCACTTTCTCTAGCAATTATTGGCAGGGATGTTTGGGTCCCTTCTTGATTTTCTCCTATCAAGATTACAAATATTATTCAATGTGATTTCTTTTGGTATTGCTGGCTATCCTATACAACATCAATATGAGAAAACAACTCAATTTCTTCAATTTAAACTTTCCATGGAAAATCAATCAAATGCATCAATCCAAATATTATGCTTTTGATGATTACAAGGAATATTGCAATCACATTCTCAAAAGTATGTTCATCAGTTTGACATCATTCACCGAACTACACCTTCCTTTGCCCTTGAGCAAAATGGTATTGTTGAATGAAAACACGTTCACATTATTGAAACCACAAGAATATCCTACTCGAGGCCAATCTTTCCCACCATTTCTAGTTTGACACTGTTTTAATGGCTATCAATTTAGTTGATTGTCTACCATTCCTAAATACTCGAAATATATCACCCTATCAATTGCTCTACAACGAAGGATACTACTATCCTCTTCTAATATCATCTAAAATCCTTTAGTTGCTGACACTGATTTAGGTTTCCTCAGCAGTGTGGAAAGATTAAGGGACAATTTAGGATATTACTAGGATGAATAACGATGGAGAAATGGATGATGTTGCCTAAAATTTGACGCAATCGGCTACTGGATAACAGCTAGACAACAACTTAGCGGCAGGAACTGAAGGGCAGAAACATGGAGGTTGATGTGGAAAGTTTTCAGACGTTTATGAGAGAATATCACATCAATCCAACACACAACCTGAGAAAATCTAAATATACGACACTCAGACAATAAGAACTAGAGGGAAAACAATATCTTTTGCAGAAATCAAAAGCTAAAAGTCCCTAAAATCATGTTCTACATTATACATTTATGCTAAGAAAAAAATAAAATTCTAGTAGTAACTCAAACCGGGGAAATATGAAAAATAGGGCCCCATAAGGCCCGTAATAGTCAAAGGGTGGGAAATATCTAGTTACAGGACTCTCGGGATGGGAGTTTCGCTCCTGTATCTGTCCCACGTAAAGCGGGGGCACACCCACATCGTTGCCTTTGTCACCTATGTCAAAAATCTTACTCAAATAAACTAGATCTAAAGTTTGTTTTGTATATTTATTAGAAATTCTCCCACTTTCAAGGGATTTAAATGTCATTTTACGATGAAGGGCAAAATGCACATATTGCATCAAGTGATTCTTAGCTTTGAAAGATTGCTTTCATTGAAAATATTATTGGACGACATTTTTGGATTTATTTTTGTTATTGGGATGACTTGAAGTACTTTCATCTAATGTCAAGTTCATACTTTTTTCTGCCCTCTTTTTTTCCTCTTTTTTTGAGTTATAAAGTTTTTCTTGAGTTCACTTTCATTTGTCTTTCACGAGCCCCTTTTGCATTGGTAGGATGTCAGAAACAAGTATAGCTTTCTATGTCAAATTCATTGTGTTTTTTTAAGTGTTTTTTTCTTTTATGGAAAATAAACTTCCTCTAGAACATGATGCAAGTGAAACTAGATTTTCTTGTAGAATTAGTCTTGATGTATTGTTTGGCAGATGAAGTTAGATTTGAAATTATTATGGCATTGCTTTTGCGGTTGCCCATAATGAGAAAGGAGGTCGGGTGCTCTCATATAGATAATTTATCTCTCAACAACCTAATTTTTTTTTTATGCCGACAAAGATGGTCTACGAAGATTTCATCAAAGATGGTTGACCATTTTATGATTTTGCATCAAATACTATGTTGTCGGGTAACAAACATTGTGATGTGGCTTTTGCAATGATTTTACTAACTGCAATTAAACCAAAAAAAGGATGCATGTTTATGGGTAACATGAGCTTTGATATGTTTTGTTGGTTTGAGTTTACTTGAATTTGACGTGAACATCTTCTCATGACTATAGAATTATTTCTCAAATTGGAGTCACTTTTCAAAAAGGCATCATGTTGGAGATGCTTGATTATGGGAGACTGCCCTATTTTATTAGAGGTTTATAAGATTATCCAGTTCAAGTATATGATTCAATATTTGCATATTGTTAGATTGATGATGTTGGGGATGTGATCTTCCTAGTTTGTTGGCAATCACATGCTATTTTGTTGCTAAGTCATGAAATAATGGGTTCTATAGAAGGATACTTTTTAAATGGCATGTTATTCCAAAGCCAGGCTTTATGCATTGAATTTATTCTCAAGGTTTGGGGTTGGAGTTTTTTGAAGAGTTAGATTTTTTATTATTATTTTTTCTTTGTTAATAAACATGTGTGAAGAGGCTTGATTTCACTGATATTACTTTTCAAACTAATTTTGACTAATAAGTGGCAAGTTGTGAGTAATCGGAGCCAACTTTTAGATTGTCCTCGAATGGATGTATGAACTTTGCTTTGTTAACTCAGTTGGAGGGTGGTTATTAATTGATTAGGTCAATAAGGAAGAAGTCATTGATAGGTATACAAATTAGTTAAAGAAAGGTGTTTGAGCAATGGGTGTTATGGTCCCTGCACATGCTCGACCATTACTTGTTTTGCAGGCTAGTTGACTGGCATAGGGAAATTGCATAGAAAACGTGTAAATTATTAGGTGTTGAACTTGCTGCTTATGATTTGGAGATGTATAAAGACTTAGCTCAGGAGGCAGGAAGTTCAAATTTATGTACGAATGAGATAATCAAGGCTCTTTTATGTAGAAAACCTAAAATGAAAAAGCTATAAGGTCTGACTTGGATGTTAAGATTTGACTTACGTGCAATATAAGGACTGATTTTGTCCCCTTC